ATGACAAGAGAACACAGCGTAAAATGATTGCTTACTACTTCTCACTGATTTTCTTAATGATATTCTTACGACGTTTTTTGTGGACTTGATTGATACCTTTTTATATATAAACAAATAATCAATTCACTCTTATCTACTCTGCCTTTAGTGATCATTATTTCTTCCAATATATATAAACTAAATTTTGTGTAAGTGTTGAAATTATGGAGTACAGAGATAAGTCAGGTGATGTTTAATGGAAGTAATTGATGAAGGGGTTTTTTTTTTTTTTTTTTTATTATATTAAAGTCCTAAGCTAAGGCTCTAGGTCCACTATTGGTACAAGACTGGTGGAGCCGGCGGGGATCACTGCTTACAGGCCCAACTCATTCCAACCGCGTGACCCGCTACAGAAAAAGTAGCAGGTAAATTATAACTCAGAAACTGTAATCAAAAACTAAAATCAAAACTAAAAGCCAAAGACTGAAATCAAATTTACAAGATTTTTCATGTGGTCCGGATCCCGCGCTTCTCGCCCGTTCCCTTTCCTGCCACATCTTCCAAATGACAAATTTATTCAATCTCCGCTGAGAGCAAGGGATGAGATAGCAGGCACTTTTTATCCAGCCGGTATTGTGCTATTGGTTAGTATATGCCCCAAAAGGGACATCGTCGAGGTTGCTGTGTCCTCAAACTTCTTCTTCAAATTCCAGAACTCCGAAACCTGTAGCCTCGGCCATCGAGACGTCCTTTGCAGCGGCGGTGATTGCCTCTTCGGCCTTCTTTGCTGTTGCTCGTGCTCGTGCCACCTTCGCGAACTCCCCTTGTTCGATGTGGCGGATCCACGCGAGCTGCTCTTTGGTCACCGGTCCAGACTTTCTGGGTCTGACTTTGCAGTCCCGGGAATCCGATCGGTGGGGTCCCCCACAGTTGCGACATTTTGTGAGGGCCTCGCACTCGGCTTCCGAGTGCATGTTTGATCCGCAGTTCCAGCACGCTGGGGCGCGGGAGCAACCACGGGTGGCGTGGAAGCCCAAACAGCGTTTGCACTGTTCAATTTGGCGACGAGGCTGGATCTTTGTAGCCGCTCCGGACTCGTCGAGAATTCGGAAGCCCGCACGAGGGGCGGAGTCCCGGTTGAAAAGGGCATACCAGTTTCTGTATGGCGCTCCAGGACGACATGTCCCGTGCGGTCGCACCTGGCATGGGCGTCGTTGTGTTTTGCGGTAAATCTCCAGTGAGATCCTACCGGCATCGACCGTCTCAATACGGTTAATTAATTTTATAGTCGCTGGAACATTCGCGATCCGAAAGGCGACAAGGTTGGAGGCTTCCTCGATTTTGGCATTGAAGTCTGACAACTTCGGTGAGGCATCTAACAGCTCTTCCCTTTCATTTTCATCCGCTGTCAGAATCGCAAATCCGGTTCTGACACGGTGTATAGAGCTTTTTTCACTCAAGGTGTACAGTAGCCTACAACATAATTGATGCCGTATGCCGTCAGGCGAAAGCTGGCGCCATGGGTGATTGCTCTCTAAGCGAAGGAACAGTCGTTTGTCGACTTTAGCCTTCGGATCTTCTTTATTTTGGGCTTTTGCCGCAGGTCGCGGCACAGCCTTTGCAGTAGGGACTGCTTTTTGTGACAGTCCGTTTCTGGCCACCGTGGCCCTGGTGCATTTTATAGGCAGCGCTGGGACGGCGGAAATTGTTGTGCTCCTGACGTCGGGAGCCCTTGGGATCGGGTTCGCCGGGCGAGGAGGGAGGACGGGTGGCGTGGAGGCCGGGCCCGTGGCCATGTATTGCGCGATGGCTGCGCGTAGGTAGACTCTCATCGAGTCTACAAATTGTCTGTTTGACCCGTTGGTCAAAGGAAGAAGGGTGACTTCGACGCCAGAGATGGCGGCGGAGCAGAGGGCCAGATTTGCCGCTGTTTCGGCGGCACGTCGTTGCTCGGCTTCGATAATGGGTCGAAGTTCCGGAGGGCAATCTGCTTTCGTGGCAGCTTTGGGCTGCGACGTTGATTTTGACGCTGCTTTGGGTGCAGCGTTCTCCGACAGTTTTGGCGCGGTCGGGGGAGATTTTGACGATTCTCCAATCCCGTGGGGGACGGAGGATGGTTGAGGAATTTCCTCAATAATTTCGACTGACCCGATCATGTCAGTATCGGGCTCAGTGACGGTAGGGAGGGCTTTTTCCTTCCCTTTGGTAGAGACGTTGCTCATCTCCGCGCATTTCGGAGACTGGGCAAGGCCAGGTAATTGTTGGAGAGCCCTCGGGTGGACTCTCGTGTTGTCCAACTTGACGTTGGGGCGCTTTTTGCGAACTGGAGGCATGGTGAAATGCCTGAGCTCGATCACAATTCAGAGATAGATGCGACGAGGTCGAGAAGGGAGGAAAGAGGGAAAAAATGAATTTTCGATTTTTCGATTTTCTCGAATTGATGAAGGGTTTGGTTGTTGAGTTTTCTATTATTTCTGTGTTGGGATACACTTTGTTGATCCTACTAGGCTCGATAATTAGTAGTCCCGACCGACTGGTGTTTGGCAAATGGAGATTGCGTATACCCTGTGCTAGCATTGTTTACTGCTGTTAATAGGAGATCCCGCACGGGCTATCTATTGGGGTTAAAAGGAGTCTGGTACCTGTGTTTAGTAGAGTAGTCGAATTGACATCCTTTTATCCTTCATTATTGCATAAGCTTCCCTTTACCAATAAAGTCCACAAACTAAGTAGTGTGTTATACATTTGAATAGTAAGAGTATTATTCTTTTAGACGGGTGATATAGTTGTACTGGAATTAGAACTGATAAAGTATTGAGTTAACAGAAAGTGTTTATCTCATGGCCCGCACAGTATCAATTCATACTGCAACTATGCTCCTACTAATATGAGTCTACCAGCCTAGTCTACACGCTAATAAGGGACTAATAACACAGGGTATATAAAATCTCCAAACGCCTTACCCTTATACTCCTAATTTAACATTTACCACATTCCTAACTCCATTATATTGAGGGTATAAGAATGATTATGTTAGACAAAGGCTTTTGTAATTTAACATTTTGTTATAATAAAATCTAGTGGTTGGTATTAACATCAAAGCGCATCAATACTAATCTCACAATTAATGGGAGACTAGTAACGTGTGTTCTAAACATCCCTGTCTTTACCATAATCAGAAGCACCAATTTCAAAAATAACCATTTATGAACGCAGATTTGGGCAGTTTGCATGGACAATTATTGTTACTGCCGGTTTATCTAAGACGTAAAATTAGATGTGTCATTGTATGGGGATCACATGATGACTTCAGCATGGATGCGCTAGCCAGGATCCATAGTATAGCTGTTGTGATTATGAACTTACGGGAGTTAATGAGCTGAAGCTCCTATTCAGCATTATGTGCAGGACGTGATAACCTTGTGGTCTGATTGTTGTGTATTGAAGACTATGATGATCTAATTGGGAGAAGAATTTTCCTTTGTACAAGATTGAGGTGTCCGTGCACCGAATTTTACTTGACACAGCTGCCATTCTAACTTAATGTAATCCCCATAGACCACACATTACAACAATAGCTGTGGATCCTGTAAAGCATAGTAGACAAGACAATTATGGACATTTTATACCAACACAGAATCGTACAACTCTTTACTGAATCATTACAATCGATCGTGAAATCACACCGTAGTAATTCCAACACTGATTAGTGATTGTAATCAACACAATCACAGACAGATAGGCTTAACAACAAAGAGACACTCGACTTTGCTTCTCCGCTCAAGCTTGGAGCTATTAAGTATCAAAGAGCTGTGCTAATGTAGTTAAGTAGAAGATTGAGTCTCCAGTCTTCAGAAGAAGATATTTCAATCAACTACAAAGAGCGTCATTCACTCAGAACAATCAAGTGCTATCTTGATCTCTTTATAGAGTGTAGCCGAGATCATTGTACATAACTTTACAACTCAGCAACTTTATCCCCTTTAAATCTGTTGGAAATACAGTTTCCTGATTTTCTTTCTATCAACCAATGTGGTTGCATGCATCTTGCCTGAACTTTATTTCTGAGTTCAGGCAGGATCCCACACTTTTGATCCAATCGGACTCAACGTTTTAGTCTGCTTGAATCCCATTCTTCCCGAACAATCCAGTCATTGGTTTGTTTGTATTTTCTATTGCATGACCCAGTATTCTGAGTCAGTGAATAATTCTTTTCTGGTCTGGGATCTCAATTATTTCTGCAGTCAAGTCGGTTTTGGGTAACCTTTCTTCCCTGTAATTCCACTGTATATATCATAGTACCTGTAGTCTATTAGCCAATTAAGCAAACTAAACTTCTCCATTCTCAGGCAATTCTTACTCCGAAGTCTTCTCTATACTCTAACAAAATCCATAATTATCAGCGACTTAAGTTCGCATTCTAATCCACCCTTCAAAATGTCACAACCAGGTGTTTCAGAAACCTCGTAGCTATGAGTAGAATCCTCATCGGATGAACCTAAGATCGCCAATGTGTTCCAGGAGACACAAGGGAGCATAAAAGAAGAGGAAGGCGATGTGATACCAAGAGAAACACTACTCCAGGTGTTAGAAGAGCTTGGGTTACAGTCCCAAATTCCGATTCAAGCAATAGACGCTCAGTACTGGGGCCAGCTAATCACAGAAGCAGAAATCACAACTGCAAAGCAACTCACAACATTCGCAGTAGAGTGTGCTATCAGTTACCAGACGTTCAAAAGTTTCGATGATGAACTTTTGGGTGCTTTTTGAGAAGATTTCGACGGCTGGAGCACGGAGATGTTCGAAAAGGTTCAGCAAGATTTAAGATGCATCTTCAGATTACTGATACAAAGAGGAGGTATAACTACTTGCAGTTTCAGAGGTGGCATTGCATGCCAGCTGGCCTCCGTCCATCAATTTGAAGAGCTACCTGAATGGATAGACAATGATCTTTTGACAGTTGATCTGCTGCCAAGATACGCTTCTACCCCAAGAAGTTACAACTGCTCACAGGTACAAACTCTCAAGCAACACAAACCCCACCAACAACAACTGTACCACCACTGCAGATGACGAAATTTTTTAAAATATCTGACAATACACAGTGCACGCTACTAAATAAAATAGGCTGCAGCCCAAGAGTCTCATATCTTACTCTAAAGTATCATAATAGAGAGTATGAACAGCGTGATCCAAGCTGTTCACCAGCTCGTGAAGGACAACAACCAGAGCCGCAGTCAAGACTTTTCCGACCCGGTACTAGCTCAGTTTACCCTTCTGTGCCTCGTGATGAGAAACCACCAGTCTTCCAAGATTTTCGACATGACCCTTATACTGATCTCCCTCCTTGCAACGAGCCAAACAAGAAACTTGAACCATCAGCAGTTATCAATAATTCTAAGCATTGGAACAAGGAAATTAAATCTCGTGGCTTAATGTTGTGCTGGCTCAATTGAGTTGTTAGGAGACTAGGGGACGGAGGATGGGCTGCTGGATTAGGAAAGGGTGGAAAATACAGGCTGGTGCACAGACGCTGTTCATGTACTCTACAATCTCTTCAGCTGCCGAGTCTAGTGAATTAATCTATCCAAAATAATATCATACTTCACATCATCCATTAGATGATATTATCAATTGTCGGGATGCACATCTAGCATCACCTTCATAGATCACCATTTTCAGTAAGATTTCACATTTGATACCTACTGACAACCATTTGGACACAGTGATACGTACTCAGTGTCCATCGTGCCATCACTCAGCGTGAGCGCGCCATCTCCGCGACTCACCATTGCACATGAGCCCGTGTAACTCCACCGACGGACAGCAGAGACATTGTCTAGAAATTGATATTGTTGTCAGAGTTTTTGACTAATGTGACGGCTTGTAAGCCGGTAATTGCCTGTAGCCTGCGCTGTCTAACGTAGGCTTAGCATGAAACTAGACAGGGACTATTCTTGGAAGCAGGGTCATACAACTTGGCAAACACCCCCAAGAATAGGGCACGAGAAGGGATACAGATATACAGATTGAAAAATGTATCATTGGCCTGGATAATAATCATGTATAAATTAACTGTTATTATCCTCTTCAATCTGTAATTCACCATAGATTGAAAATAAACTACCTCTGACCATAAGGTTGCTCAGTACCTATGCTTAGACTGTGACAATAAAAACTTGATTTTCTACTTTAACTGTTTATGCCTCGCCACACCAGGTGTCTTCTTGGCCAAGTTCCATCTTCCAACCTGTGCTTATGACCCCCTGCAATTCGCCATCGGCCGAGATCAGTAAAAAGTGACTCATCACCACCTCTTTTAACAACATTAGCTGATGAAAATCAAAATGACTTGCACAGCTAATACTTATGCGAATAGTTGTCTCTCGAGAATTTAACAAACCAATGATAGATTGGTTCTGGTAAGCCGCATAGGTTTCCTGTGTATTTGATATCAGATAGGGGTATGCCTTGCATACTTTTTTGGTTTATGATTGGGAGAGCCTGGTTGTAGACATATTGAACTTCATTATTTGATAAAACCTCATTGTTGCCACAATTATATTTTGAAACACATTGCACCACACCTATGATAGATATTATCCAAATTCCCAGGCAGCTGAGCAAGCGATTGGATTGCATGTTGTGTGGATAGGAAGTCGGAAGAGAGATGATAACTTTGGGGAGATGTTTGGACTTGAAGAAAATTGGCTCAGCTTTATGTCACATTTGAATACAATGGACGAGTCTGAGTTACCATCAACTTGTAATTACAGTGGACTCCATCCCATTGAGTATCCACATCCGCTTTTCTCACAGTTGTATTCAATAAAAATCCTAGACTCTCTACTTCGAGCCCCATCCGGCCCGGCGCTACTTAATATAATTCTCGCTGTATCCTAGTATTAAAAAATCTCTCCATTCCTTTATCCAAATTTCATACAATATTTTGGAATAATAGGATGACTGGATCTCGTAGTATATGTAGGCCAGTATGCGCCTGGCCCGAGATGAATGTGAGTCTCAATAGCAGGGGAGCACGTTATATGTATGCATGTGTAGCCAGGGCCAGCATATGCTTGCTCCAATTTTCAACAACTACTTTCGACAACGTTGTTGCTCGAACACCTCAGCATTGATGTGTCACACAGGAGAAACTTTGGTGTCATATTCTGTAAGCGCCGTATCATGCTGTCACAAATAGGCGAGGGGAATCCATTCCATATGGAAGTGGAGTGTTACTAATAGTTAATTTATAAAGTGTATTCCTGGTTAGGAAGCCCATTACAATCTCCATAATTTTGTACTGTAATAAATAGTCATGAGAAACACTGTGGGAAGTCGGGATCTGTCAACTTGGCTGTGTGTTCAAGGAAGACCGGACTAAACCTAGACGGGGTTAGTGAGCTGCAACATGCTCATCAAGTATGAGAGGGCTGAGCTCCGCCAGCATGGCCAGTGACCATACCAGATTTGCACCAATGGAGTTTTGCCGACTTGGATAAAATACCAAAGCGAATTGGGAGCGGCAGAGCAGGCGGATCTCTCTGACGTAACTTTACAGTCAGCTGACTCGCGGACCGCACTGCTTGCCAGCTATGAATAAATAAATCACTTATTCAATTGTTCTGATTTGGCGCCTGGAGGCCCAAGCAGATTTAATGAGAAGATATGTACTTTCTGTAGGATGATGTTACAGTTCGACTATAGAAAGCAATTGGGCATTTGTATGATTGAAAGATAAAGCTGTAACTCATAGATGTTGTGACGGGCTGTGCCCGGATTGGGACTGGTCACTAGGACCAACCCGGCTAGATCTTTAAGCGCCAACAAAGCAGCGCTTACAGAGACGCGAAAGGTTGCATGGGGAAGAATGCAAGGTTGCGCACAAGAACGAGTCTCAGTGTTGCATAAGGATAATTGCAAGGTTGCGCATGAGGAAGGACCCAAGGGAGTACGTACTAAGGGGGGGAGGATGTCACAGGAAAGAGGGTAGCCGGGGAGAATGGGGTATTCTCAGGTAAGCTAGGAGGGGAGCTTAAACTCGACGCTGAGGAGGACATAAAGGCCAGGAGCCGTCGTAGGCAGATTAGCTTCCTAAGGAAAAATTACCAATTATTGAAATGTATAATCCACTACTTAGTTTGTGGACTTTATTGGTAAAGGGAAGCTTATGCAATAATGAAGGATAAAAGGATGTCAATTCGACTACTCTACTAAACACAGGTACCAGACTCCTTTTAACCCCAATAGATAGCCCGTGCGGGATCTCCTATTAACAGCAGTAAACAATGCTAGCACAGGGTATACGCAATCTCCATTTGCCAAACACCAGTCGGTCGGGACTACTAATTATCGAGCCTAATAGGATCAACATAGTGTATCCCAACACAGAAATAATAGAAAACTCAACAACTAAACCCTTCATCAATTACTTCCATTAAGCAACACCTGACTCATCTCTGAACTCCATAATTTCAACACCAATTCCTATTGAGTTAACGTCTTTCAAGTACTTCTGAATTCTTTAAACCTTTCACAGATGTAGAAGCAAACTACATGCAAGTCTACTCTATTACTTATTGCTACAGTTTGACTGTTGTTTGAGCTTAGGTGAATACCTAAGCTGATTGTTGGGAATATTTACAACAAGGCTGCATGGTGTTGGAAAATATACTCTGTACAATATTATATGGATAAATATGATGAAGTTAAGAAGACTTGATATTTTACAACTATGGGAACATTGGACTTATATATACATCAAAGGGAGAAATTCCCGCTAGCCTCGTGTGCCTGTCAAACCTAGTGATGACTAGCCACCTCTCATCTACCATGGTGAGCCAAGGTACACTGTAGTACGTAAATATCCAAACGTATAGGCGACAGTAGGCGCAATTAGCGTACTCGGGACATTTATAGAGAGAGTCGATCTTGTCGGGAACCTGAGACGAAATAGGTAATGGTCGAGTCCTAAATTCGAGAGTCAGAATTTCCAACACATGGGGGGGGATAGATGAAGCTGAACAAGGCGGCACTATTTCACGGATCCGTAAATAGAATTTTAATACTAATATTAATTCGTGATAAGATGAAGGGGTAGTTAATTAAAACCATCAATTTAATAATAGCTTCCTCTATACAATTAGTCATGTAAAATGTCATGTAAGGATATACAAGAGAGTCATGAAGAGAAGGACAAGAACACAGCCATCAATGCGAAGATATTGGCAAGAATTGATTACGATTAATTCCGGCTGGCAAATGCTTCTACTCTTGTATATAATAGTTCAGCGTGAGAGAGATTTACTCCTCACGCAATGTCTTCTTTATCTACCATTTACAATACATTTGTTTACCCATCTCTTCTTCGGGAAGACCATTTATCCATTGCCCAGTTCTTCATCAGCAAGACCCACGTGTAACACCTACTGCAACTAGTTGCCCATTCATCTCTTCCTAGAGAAGACCTGTCCTCCCTCTGACCCATTTATAATCTTCATTTACCACCTAGATCTTCACCAGGCTGTACAACGCACCCCGTGGAACACTGTCAAACCCTCATCCCTGAGACACTACTAGTCAAGAGGTCGAAGCGTTACTACAACTAAGTAACACCTGGCAATGTGTGGCTGGGTAGCAAGTATTGTGCGTAAAGATAAGTCATCAGTCTGGAGATTGACGAAGGGGACCAAACGTTATAAGTACCTGTTAGTAGTAGCTAGAGATTTATTTTCTCTTCATATAGTTTAATAAATCGATTTATTCATTACCAACTCGGTTTCTGTCACCATTTAAACTATATCCCACATTCTTTGCCCGTCATTAAGTATATTGCAGCCTTAGATAACTGTGACTTAGGGCATCTTTAATTATTGGTTTCAATGCACAGGGATTCGAAGAATCAACAATGGGTTCAAATATGAACAATTTTAGCATCGGAGCAGACTCTATAGCAACTGGTTTATCGAACCAGGAATTGATGCCACACGGAGAAATACAGTCAGAAATGCAGCGACTGGTAGAAGAAATGAAATTAAGGGGAATGGAACATAGAAGAGATTTGGGGTTGTTACAATCTCAATTGAGCGGAATGATGAAAACAATGCAGGAACGGACCGAGGCCGACAAAAAATTACCCCTACAACCTTCAAGAGCTGATTTTGGAGGCCAATCAGAATGCAGGGAATATTTCATAGAAGAGGAACCACTTAAATGGCCAGAAGCATACGACCACAATGATAGAGCTAAGTGGGCATTACACATGGAATACTTCGATACATATACAGCCGTGATGTAGAGGAGCAATGCATACTTCAACCATCAGAATTTTCAGTGCAATTGTATAGCCATGCTGTAACAGGAACTGCGAAGGATATGATCACCGGCCAGTTTCTAAACATGCTTGCAAATGGTATGGAATGGGATGCGCTAGGGCTGTTACAGGCTATGGATGATAATTTTTGCAACAGACACGAAGAACAATTGGCAGCCGCGCTACTTCATGCATGCCGACAATTCCGGGACGAGAACCTATCGTCATATCTACCGCGCTTCCAGCAGTTACTCTCATGAAGTCCCAGTTTGAAAGAGAAGGAGAAATACAAGATCTACTTATTGCGAAACTCGCTGAACAAGACGACGAGAAATTACATGATTGGCAGTGTGCACCCTAGAACACTTCGAGAATTAATTGATTACCTGTAGATCCTGGGTTCTGAAATTGACGAGGTTGGTATATAAATTACAAGGGAATACCTGCTAGGTCAGACTGGCTACTTCGACGACGGAACACGAGGCATTGCTGGGGGCAAATTACTAGGGAAAATCTCAAAAGAAATTACGCACCACCTTTCAGCCAATGTCACCTTATACAGTAAGGATGTGGACAGCAACACAAGGACTATCAGTGTTGTTAAGTCCGTGCGAACTGGGTATCACGTGCTGAATTGAAGGGGCGCAAAATCGATGGCTTATACCTGCAATGTGGAAAGAAAGGACACGTTATATCTAATTGTCGACTGCTTCCTGCTAAGCATCCCGAAATACCTGTTCAAGCTGCAAAATTCGACGTACATATAGCAGATACAGCTAAGGCCAAAGTTACAAAGAGCATGGTTGCAAAAAGATTAGCTCCCAAATCAAGTTATCCTTAGGCGCAAACAAATGGAGCCATGAAAATGGTTAGTAGCTCAAAATCATTTGGAGATAGAGAAGCTGAGAGCGCTATGAATGGATCTTCTTTCATTATAGACACTGTAATTAACAGAATTTATTCAGTACCCACTTTAATTGACAATGGATGCAAATACTTAGCCGCTGTTAGTAATTCATTAGCAGATAGAGCGAACTTAACCCGGATAAAAATAACTCCATGCAAGCTCACAGAGGCAAAGGAAAATCACCTCCATAAAGATTTTATCACGGAAATGGTTAATATGGAGCTAGACATTGATGGGTATCAAAGAAGTTTATTTGCGTATGTTATATCAATGTTGTCTCATGATATTATATTGGGAATACCATGGATGGAGCGTGAAGACCTTATTTATAATGCAAGGGAACATTTCATGGACATTGGAGAAGCAATTGTGAACAATCGACCATAGAGGGTATGGGAAAAGGCCGACAGCCAATGGTGA